TACAAAGATAGTAACGATAAGAAATTACTTTCTCAAAACTAACTTTTTCAATCCTATTAATTGTTAATGTCATTTTGTTATAAATTTTATAAACGCTTGATCCTTCAATCATTCTTTCAATCTTGTTGTTAAACCTTTTTTTTTTTTGATTATTTATTTGTAATGGCGAAAAGTATCTTCTTCTATGCAATCCTGCCGCGAGAGACGTCTGTAAATTGGTCGACGCTTTACTGCTTTGCGTCGCGAGAGGTAACGGGATCCCGCGGGGCGTCGTTCTCTCCGGAGTCATTCCATTTTTTTTCATTATCTTCCGCCGTCGGCAAGCTCCCTGCCTTCGGTCGGTGTGCGGCGGCATTCTTTCGTCTCTATATCGGAGAATTAATGTCCCGCGCGCGAATGCGACTCTCTTAAACGCCGACAGACCGCGCCCGGGCGAGCATCCGGTGTGTATCGCGGTTAATTCAACTCCGTCCTCGAAAGGGATATTTTGCCGCAGCCTCGTAACGATATCTCGCGAACGAGCTTGAAAAATGAGTGCGCCGTAATGACGCCGCGCCGACTAAGTATCTCGCCGGTGACTATCCGTCATAATCTGTTCGCACGTCGGTGTATGTGCGCATTTTACGCGCACGGTATCGCCGTCAAACGCGACGGCTGGTAACTCTGCGGGGGGGGGGAGGGGGATATCACGGCAGGAGTTTCCAGCTTGAAAGCGGCAAGGAGGAAAACGCAGATAGCGCGGCGGATTCCGTAAATTGCGCGAGCGCGCGACCCAATTACGCGACGTAATGAGCGATTTATCCCGCAGGTACCGCCGCCGCTGTCGTCGGCCAAGTTTTAATCAAGCTGTTTCTTAAGTGCAATTATCGCCTATCGTTATTCACTCGCGTTCAATATGTTTAACGCGCGGCGCGCGGTTAGCAGCCGGATCTTGGCGAACGCGAGGTAATAACCGTGTGTCGTTGTGCAAACACATGTCCTCGCCCGGAGCAGATAAGTCTGAGGGTATAGTTACGTGATAAAGGGTTACCTCGCGTGGTGAAGTAGGTGGAACGAAATCTCCCAAAGATCTATCGCGATCTATCCATTCTATTTGAGAGACAAAGCAAATTCGAGCGAGCTGAGAAACGTATCTTTACCGAAATCACAAATCGTTTAAGGGAATAGCAATTTAATGCGGCGAAACGCCACATTGTAACGGGCAGAGTTACAAAGTTACGGTGTATTTCGAGATAAATGCATAATGAATGTACACAAGCTGGAAATGCTAGAAAATTTTTTTTTCTTTCCTCAGAATATCTTTGGAGTTAAATAAATAATGCGGCTAAACGCAGACCAGTCGGCTTTTAAAATATACAGAGACTATCTAAATATATATAAAATATAAAGAGAATATCTAACGTTTTCTCCATTTTTACATCGGCGTTACGTTTTTTTTTTTTTTTTTTTTTTTGAGGAAACTAAAACACAACAATGCGCGCTTTAATAGTCCATTGTAAATGTTATTGATATAAAAAAATATATTTTATTAATTAAAAATTAATTAAAAATACGGAAAATAAGATTAAGAACAAACAAAGTAAAATATATTGTATGTCATGAATTCATCATTTATTTAAAGAATCCATGTAAATCTACAATAAATTGTTTTTTAATAAAAATATTAGGGCATTATTTTTGACAGAACCCCAATTGGCTATAAGAGAGTAAACCGCTTTGCTACTTCCCTTATTTTAAGATGTGTTATAAACATTGCGAAGAGAAAGACGGGAATGATACGGAAACCACAATATTTCCGACCGTATTATAGAGAATATTGAAAAACGCTTTCGAATCAATCGTGCGAATTCCTGATCGTATATCCAAGTATTCTTCGTCTGAATGGAATGTTGTTTTCTATCACGACTATCATGTCCGCTCCAATAATGCTGAGAACATTTTTCACAACCAACTATTTCGTGGATCACCGTTAGGTTTCTTCTTCTAAGGCAAAGATTTATGTTCCTATCCGTTAGACGAAAATATATATAAAATTGTTTTTACTAAAAAATTCAGATAAATACCAGATAAATATCAGTAGTTGTCATAATCACTCATTTTTCAAATAAACAGACTAAACAAAATTAAATTTATATATGTATTTGTTGATATAATCACGCAATTACCGAAATCGATTCACTTTTGTTTCAAAAAAATTATTGCTTTAATTAATTCGCCTTTTTTTATTTCACCGGAATAGTTTTCAAATTTCTTCATGATTATTTAAAAAATCGTCAAGGGTTATATTTTTTATATCATTGTAATAATAATCACTCGATGGAAATCTTGGATGAAAACTTTGGATGTGTAAAATAAGAAGAAACGTTTATGTTATTTGTTTAAATATTTAGACATTTTTATTATTAATTTAATCATTTAATGTAATCATTTTCAAAAATTTTTGTTTGATTGCAAATTACGAGCCTCGGTAAACAATATTATGTCATTGATATTCGCCAATCTGTGACGAGTATCAATATTTGATAGATGTATCATCAAACTAGACGCGACATATTGGCAAATCATATTCAAATATTTGTCTTTAATTTCAGGCGTCCCGTTACGATAAATTATGACCGATAATTATTTATTTCGTGATAAATGACGATCGAGTTCAACAATGGAAATAATTCCGATATCTAGAATAATTATTTGCTGACACGGATGAAATGTAGAAATACGATATCAAGAATTCATCATCGTATCGTGACGAGAATTTCTAAACTATACGTTTAGATTTACAATGATTTACGACAACTCAGAGGAATAGACGATAAAACGCGTGAGATAACGGAGCAGAAGAGGATAATGATCGACAATTGCAACTCATAATTTGCCACGAGAGCCGCGTCACGGATAGAACTCTATAATGACAGAACTATTTTTTTTTTTCAACTAGACTAGCATTTCCTCTATGCTATATTCTAGGAATTTCACTCTGTCAATACGCTGTTAGCCGTTCCGGTTAATTCGTCACGTTTACGTATCGCGCTTGGCTCACGCCCACAAAGCGCTGTTTCCCATTTACATCCGCGGAACGTTATAGTTTAACGTTAATTAATGTCCTTGCATATCTCGCGGACTATTAAATCCCTACAATACATTTCCCATGAACTTTCCAAGGCGCGAATTATCTCCGGATCGAATTAACTGGCGATTAAGAGTCGTGAGGGTTCGCTCGGGACTAGAGACAGTAGTCGACTCTCTCGTTTCCTGGGAACGCTGTAATTAGCCTTTCGGATTAACCATTGCCTATAACTTGTTAAAACTGCGCCCTCTGCACCCCTGCGAGAATTGTCCCCGAAAATTTTCTTAGTCCAGAGAAGATTTCCGTAACTTCTGCCACGCTTAAAATTGCCCGGAGTGGCAATTATACTTTAGACACCACGCGGGAGAAAGAGAGAGAATCGGGGACACGGATCGACGAAGGGAAATGACATTTGCGGTCGTAAACGTTGCTACGAACGTTACCCACTGCACGTGAAATTCGCGGCGATGTCGCCGTACGTCTTGCCACAGGCTTATAATTTCGTTCTGGGCGAAATTAGGCACCGTGACACGCACGGTGCACGGTATTCAGCGCAAATTGAATTTGCATAACATATCCACCGATCACCACCCTGACGACGACAGTCGTGAGTCTTGAGCTCCGTGTGTACGCGCATCGCGCATCCGTTTCGCCGTAGTTTCGGCGAAAATGGGCCATCAAACATCCGGGTACATCGGAGTCGCTGATGCCCCGACTTGAATCCGACGTGTCTACGTTGGAGTTATACGCACTCCCCCCGTGTTGTTTCAATTCCGGCGAGGAAGCAAACGCAGACCGGAACGCGTGATCGGAATATCGTGACTTCTCAAATTTGCACGTAATTTATTCGACGAGTTAATCCGACGGAGTTTAATTTTCAATCGCGCGCGTAAAAGCGCGTAAAATCATTCAGACTTAGCGGGATATTTTTAGCTTTGTAAATCCTTAAAACCGCAATTTCCATTGCAATTCCAATATTTTCGAACAAGGCATTGAATTCGGTGGAATTCGGGGGAAATGATAACGAATGCTTCTGGATATTACTCTACGTCTTCACGAAAGTTTCATATGCGCTCTCACGGCGCAAATTGTGATTCATATCAGATGTAAAAATTGCATCGTCCGCTGCAAATCGTCATGAAAAACCGAGTAACATCAAAGCTCGTAAAACAAAATGAAAATATATTACTCAAGAAGCCCACAGAATATATTTGCAAAAATATTGTAATCTTTTAGAACGAAAATAATGTCTAACAATATTTTATGATATTCCTTGTATGATTGTTGCGTAAAACAGATCTGGGATACTCAACCTGATTTGAAAAACTAAATAGCCAAACTTGAAATACAAACGATTACTCGTGTATATTTCTTGCTCTAATATCCGTAATATTTTTATTGTGAAACAAAACAGGCAATAAATAGTAAATAAAAAGCAGTATCTCTCCTCTCTGTCAGCCGAAAGGCAAACTTCGGCGTTACACGTGTCGACAAAGTTCTGTGACACGAAGTATCACAGTATCGATTGCAAACTCGTCTTATCAAGTGAAGGGCTACAGCGGTCGTAAAAGAATATGAGGCAACATGGCTCGAATGTCAAGTATCTTGGTGCCTTCGGCGTTCACTCAAAAGTTCAAGATTTTCGTTTAGAGATACAGTTTATACATATAGAATTTTAAACGCGGAATATGATTTATTACCTATATCGCGTTGGCTTTATCACTGCATCGTAATATAAAACCTGACTGTTTTTTTTTTAATAATTTCGCTTTAAATTAATGCTGTAAATTTCGTTATTACTGTCTCATTGTGTAAAGGACTTTTAATCGACATATCTGACTTTTGCGTTGCAGGAATAAAAAAGGATTGATATAAAATTTGCAAAGTTGTGTGAAGAAAGTAGCGAGACTTCATTAAACGTTTATTATTTCAGCTCATCGCAATTCGTTGGATTTCTCCATTTGCCGATCTGGTTCTTCTGGAGCGCGCAATGTCGGAGACGATGGACCATTACTCCTGAACAGCCGGGGGATATAAATGTAACGGACAACAGTTAGCATGCACGTAACGTAATGGGACATCATGTATACACGATGGAGATTGAACAAGCCGTATGTATGTAGTTGGAAACGTATCGGCCTTCGCCAACGAGGGAAGAAAGAGGGAAAGAAAGGCTCTCATCGGCAACGTCTTGTCGGTAACAGCAGTCAGCCTTAGAGTGCCTATTAGAACCAATTATCTATAGCGTTGTAACGCCAAGGAAACATCACTGCCGCGCCCATTTTCACCTTGCTGCACGTCAATGCAACATGCGACTAATGTTGTTGAGCGAAATGATCCTGTACGCCTCTTAGCTATCTCGAAATTAATTGTATCGAGCACATTAATTGTGTCGAGCTCTAGAGAAAGTTTGTCAATATCCAAAGAGAACTCTGAAGTCTGAAAAGAGAGAGGAGGCATTATATTGTCTACAGTAACAGTGTCGGTTTCCCGTAGTTAAATTAATAAATTGTTTCGCAATTAACAATTCATGTCTATATTTCCATGTCTGTTCCGATGACCACACTAATTAACATTCGCGTTGATTTTTTTATGGTTCATTAATGTAATTAACTTCATCTGTATATTTTATTGCCGGGTCATGGACAACTCGATAATTCTGCTATTAAATGCCCGCAACACCGTTTCGATTTCGAAAAGCAGGTCACCCATTCGCCCGGAGCAAGTGCGTGCATAAATAATTCTCAATTTTCTGAGCGATATCGGCGTTTTTAAAATCGTTGTTCGCTGCGTAAACAATTCGCGGCCGGCTTGATGCGTACGTAATAAGCGAGGCGACGTCTAAGGGGCAAGTCTAGTTTTCTTTGATCATAAATCCGGGGTGGCCGTATCAAAATATTAAGTATTAAGCAATACCAGCAGGGCTCGTAGGTCTTCTAATTCCATTAATCAATCTCGTTTGCCACTCGTTTGATTGCGGCCAGCGCATGAAAGCCGACGAGAGGCTTTTCTAATTGGAAGTCCCTGATCCCTGATTACTTTCGTGACCTCGCGCACACACGTCCGGTTCAAATATAATATTACCGATCTTAATGAAGTTTACGAGACCGATGCCATTAGCGAGAATGCCTTATATCTTTTTGACTTTCAGTAGGTACACGTGAAGACTGTCAGAAAATCAGAAACATTTCAGTAACTTAAAGTAGTAACTTTAATTTTTTTATCTATTGTGCTCTAATATCGAAATTAGCATACATGTGTAATACATTCTTATAAACATACTTACAAATAAGTTTGGTCTTATCTCAATATTCAATATATTCAATTTGGTCAATCTTAATCAATATTAAACAAATCAGAATGTATCTCTAAAAATAAATTATATAAATAGTATCTGTTTCGTAATATTTATGTATCGCGAATTTTTTAATCTGTAAAGTAACAAAATATTAAATAATAAAAATTCATGTTATTGTTAATTAAAAAAGTGTTTCGAATTAAAATTTTTCGTCAAATAGAAAAAGGTATTTTGAAAAATGGTTACGAAATACAAGAAATTAAAATTATACCGCAGTTCACTGATATGAATTTTTATCACACTGCTCGGTAATCCATAATGTACATCGTGATGCAAGTGGAGTGAACGCAGTGCGTGTTTTTTAACCGCATTTGCATTTTATATCGCGTACAATTTTATTACTGTGCGAATATTGGTCTTTGCTTTGCAAAACTAACTTTATTTAAAATAGCATAAGAGCACGCAGTTTGTTGTATAAGGTAATTTATTCACATTTATAAGAATGGCGGTAAGGCATTTTAGGAACAAAATTATAAAAATTTGATATAATATTAATAATTATAAATTGATTTGTTAAATAACAATTAACTATCAATAGTAATAAATGAAAGTAACTTTTTTATGTTTATTAGATTAAAATATTATTCTGCATATAAAGTTATGTAAAAAAATAGTCGTATTAATAAATTATGTAAATAATTTTTTAACACATAATGTAGGTAATTACACAATGTGTAACTAATTATTTTTTAAATAATATTTTAAAGAATCAACTTAAAGTAGATGTAGCGAGTAGATGTAGCGACAAATTTTTCAAAATGGGCTATGCACTGAAATAATTAAATTAACTTTCACGAAAAATAACATTTTTCCTAGATATGAAATTTTTTGAAATTAATATTTTGTAGCAGATTAAAGTGAAGTACGATATAAGTTAAAACGATACATTTACATGACTGCATGTTTTAATTTCTAGCCGATTAGCGAATCAATATTAATTGCATAAATATCGAATAACACTATACCATCCGTATAAGCGACAGAAGCATGTATATGCATATTAAAAAATTTTATAAACAATTTTAGGCGTTTCATTCCGTTTATATTCCATATATCGTATGCCTGAATAATGAAACTTCGATCTTTCGAGTTCTAAAATTGCAAATGGAGAACATTGCAGTTTTCAAACGAGATAATCGTAGTTATGCAGGCTAATATTTATGGAAACAATTAAAAATTCGAGCATTCTCGCGCGATTCTTTTTCGGCAATCACGAAATAATCCGAGGAACGGTTTGCAGAAAGGAAAGTAATACGAAGGAAGTTTCCCGGGGAAGAGCGTGGCGCGCGGCAAAGGAAGAAGGAGAAATTGGCAAAGAGAGAAAAAGAGAGGGGAAGGATGCCAGAAGTCTGCCATACAGTTCTCATTATCTCGCCATTTTAATCTTCACCGGCGGCGAGAGTTAGAAACAGAGCCGGTCAGTGAGCGAGCAAAGAAATGAAATGAAAGAATAAATTATTTGCGCAAAACTATTTGCGCTCGAAACTTTAGTTTTACTTTCCGCCGCGACCAATCGTAATTAGTGCCGTATAATGAGTGGAAATTGCCCCGTTACGACGCCGTGTTGCGCCGAGACTACCGGAGCTTATCTTACACGCTGATATCTTCTTCCAACGACGTTGTTCGCCGGAGTTCGACGGACGCGTAAAAAGCAAAAGAACCATTATATCCTCGGATACAGAATACTTATCGAATGCTTAATTTAATTCGGTATAATAGATCACTATCCTTAGAAACTGATTGATTAGAGTATTTATTTCTGGGAATTGCTACGGCAGAATCGCCGCGAGCGGAATCAATTCAATCATCAAGCTTAACCAACGACAAAGGCGAGGTAGACTTTTAGTGGACAGTTGTAAAGGCGTATACAACATGGACATACGAAAGAGAGGCAATGGATATCTTTCATACATACTGTTTCTCTCTCTCTCTCTCTC